GGGGCACCATTTACATGAAATCGGACGAAACTATATATGGGAGCTATATCCAAATCTGGACCGATTTTCACGAAAATTGGCAGACATCACTCTAGGCTTAATTCAGTACGTTATGCCAAATTTCGTGCAAATCAAAAGATATATAGGGACTTTGGGGCACCATTTACATGAAATCGGACGAAACTATATATGGGAGCTATATCTAAATCTGGACCGATTTTCACGAAACTTGGCAGACATCACTCTAGGCTTAATTCAGTACGTTATGCCAAATTTCGTGCAAATCAAAAGATATATAGGGACTTGGGGCACCATTTATATGAAATCGGACGAAACTATATATGGGAGCTATATCTAAATCTGGACCGATTTTCACGAAAATTGGCAGACATCATTATTGGCCTAAATGATTAGCCTGTACCAAATTTCGTGCAAATCGAAAGATATATAGGGACCGTTTACATTAAATCGGTTAAATATATATATGGGAGCTAAATCTAAATATAAACCGATTTTTCCCAATTTCAATAGGGTTCGTCCTTGGGCCGAATAAGTGACCTATGTCAAATTTCATCCAATTCGGATCACAAATGCGACCTGTACTTTGTTTACAATTTAACATGGACAGACAGACAGACAGACGGACGGACGGACATGCATAAATCGACTTAGAAAGTGATTCTATGCATATTCACAAAAGGAACCATGGGTCTATCTCAATTATTTTTGCCTGTTACAAACATATGCACAAAGACATAATACCCTGTACCACAGTGTGGTAAAGGGTATAAAAAGCAGTGAGATTGAAATATGTGGCCAAACATAAAATCTAATTTAGTATGAATCATGGTCCAAAAAACGTCGTTTTCACACGATTAAGTAAAAATTTAAAGCATTTTGACAGCTCGGGTAAAATCATCAGGCCTTATCGGATTGAAACAAAATTTTACATAGCGTATCGAATTAAGTTCCTATTGAAGTACGAATTTCTTTACATGGTGCAACAAACACCCAAAGTTTGTCCGATTGAGACAACATTTTCCACAGAGTACCGAATTCAGTTCCGATTAAAGTATGTGATGCTTTGTTGAAAGTGCACCAAGCTCCCAAAGTTTGTCCGATTGAGACGTACCGTATTGAGTTTAGAATGACGGGTGTTAAGTTTTACTATATATAGATAGATATACATATTATAGTCGGATTTTAAGGAAGTGGTCCTTTACTTTTTGATTTATACGAAATTTCGCACAATTTATTGAATTCAAATTTAGATGCATATCCGGTCCATATCTTGATAAAGCATTATATATTTTCGTCTGATTTTATGAAATCACTACCTAATACCCAACGTCTGATCTGTTGAGACAAAATATAAAATTATAGTAATATATGTTAGGAAAAATTTGCCAAAATATTAAAAATTAGAATTATTACAGCAGTTGGTTAAACCGTCTTAGAATTCCATACTTTGTATGGTATAAACTGACAATACGCCTATATGTAGACAACCCCAACAAACGGAACAAAACAGTTGAATATTTTAATATACATAAACATAATCGGTAAGGAAAGTAGTAAAGTCGGACTGCGCCGACTATATGATACCCTTCACCACATTGGGTATATTCTACATATGTATCCTTACAATTGTATGTCAGTGTTCCCTCGAAGTAACATACTCATGTCCTTCTGCAACCTGTGATAAATTTAATTTCATTCGGGCAGATTTAGAGTCGTCAGCGTACCATGGGACAAATTAATGGAAAACGATTTATAGCAAAATTGATTCACGCTATTCGGTACGCTGCACTGTTAAAAAATTAATTTCAATCAGACACCCGTTCAAATACATATGGAAGCTATGGCTGTATCTGCACCAATTTCAACAAAACGCAATAACGTCATTCAAGTCTCCATTTGATACGTTTGGTACACGATTTATGTAAAATCGAACGAATATATGCATATGTGGGAGATATATCGAAATCTGAACCGATTTTTCCGAAACTTACCACACATTATTCTAGACTCAATTCATTACGCTATCCCAAATTTCGCGCAAATCGAAGGATATATAGGCACTTTGGTACACCATTTACATAAAATCCTACGAAAATATATATGGGAGCTATGTCTAAATCTGAACTAATTTTCACGAAACTTAACACACATCACTTTAGGCTTCATTCAGTACGCTATGCAAAATTTTGTCCAAATCCAAAAACTTTGGTGCACCATTTACATAAAATCGAACGAAAATATATATAGGAGCTATATCGAAATCTGAACCGATTTTCACGAATATCAACACTCATCGTTCTAGACTTAAGTAAGTACGCTATGCCAAATTCCGTCAAATAGAAGGATATATAGGACTTTGGTGCACCATTTACATAAAATCGGACGAAAATATATATGTGAGCTATATCTAAATCTGACCCGATATGTCAAATTTCGTGCAAATCGAAAGATATATAGGGTCTTTAGAGTCTATATCGAACGAAAAAAATATATGGGAGCTATATCTAAATCTGAACCGATTTTCACCAATTTCAATAGGGTTCTTCCTTGAGATCGGATCATAAATGCGACCTGTACTTTTTTACAATTTAATCTACAGACAGACGGACATGCGTAAATCGATTCAGAAAGTGATTCTATGCATATGCTCTATCTCGTTTCCTTTTGCCTGTTATAAACATATGCACAAAGACATAATACCCTGTACCACAGTGTGGTGAAGGGTATAAAAATAAAGCCTATTCGATAAACCAGTAAGGAAAGTAGTAAAGTCGGACTGGGCCGACTATATGATACCCTTCACCACTTTGGGTATATTGTACATATGTATCCTAACAATATCATGTCTATGTTCCCCCCTTCTCCAACCTATCCTAACTTTAATTTCATTAGAGCAGATTTAGAGCCGTCTGCGTAACATGGGGAAAATTTATGGAAAGCTATTGATAGCAAAATTGATACACGCTATTCGGTACGCCGCGTTGTTAAAAATATAATCTATATGAGGGAGCTATATCTAAATCTGAACCGAAAATTAACACACATCTTTCTAGACTTAATTCAGTACGCTATGCCAAATTTTGTGCAAATCGATGGATATATATAGGAACCTTGGTGCACCATTTAAATAAAATTCGTGCAAATCGAAGGATATATAGGGACGTTGGTGCATCATTTACATAAAATCGGACGAACATATATATGGGAGCTATATCGAAATATCGACCGATTTTTCCGAAACTCACCACTCATCATTTCAATTTTGTGCAAATCGAAGTATATAAAGTCCCTTGGTACACCATTTACCTTAAATCGGACGAAAATATATATGGGAGCTATATCCAAATTTGAACCGATTTTTACGAAACTTCACACACATCATTCTAGACCTATTTCTACGCTGTACCAAATTTCGTGCAAATCGAAAGATATATAGGGACCGTTTACATTAAATCGGTTAAATATATATATGGGAGCTATATCTAAATCTGAACCGATTTTTCCCAATTTCAATAGGGTTCGTCCTTGGGCCAAATAAGTGACCTGTGCGAAATTTCATCCAATTCGGATTATAAATTCGACCTGTACCTTGTTTACAATTTTATATCGACAGACAGACGGACGGACGGACGGACATGCATAAAACGACTCAGAGAGTGATTCTATGCATATTCTCAAAAGGAACCCTGTGTCTATCTCAATTATTTTTGCCTGTTACAAACATATGCACAAAGACATAATACCCTGTACCACAGTGTGGTGAAGGGTATAAAAAATACCAAAATTTTTGGTACTAAGGAAATAAATGGACAAATATTGATAATTTTTGTATGAAAATTTAATACCAAACAGAAACACAAATTACAACTAATTTGGCGGCTATTACTAAACGTATACCAATATAGCCCGTCTTCAAATTTGATCTGCCTAAGCAAAAACACTTATTTATTACTTTTTAAAATAATTGATGATGGCATCTTTTTTTGGAGGAAAGGTTAGAAACTCTATCTACTGTTTTTTTTTCTTAATAGAGTCATCTTGCTTTATTTCCTTTTCTTCGTCATATGGACAACATAAGTAAAATCCATTAACATTCTATTTGGAAATAAGAGATCTAACCCTTCCATGGCATGTTGTGATGCCTACATTAAATATTATAGAGGTCTGTATAAAGCTCTCGCATGCAGATTCTTCTAGTAAACTAGTAAGTAGTAGATCCTATACATTCCGGATGGCTGTTTTTTAATAGTCAATCACATGTCCTAATCAACGCTACAATGCTCTTTTGCATGGACGTCCGAGCAAGTACATTCCTCCATCTTCGAACCATGTTTCTTTATGTAAATACATACGTGTATAGCATTAATACAATTCGAATATTACATTGTATATGGCATATCTACATATTATGATATGAATTACTCAAAACTGATTTAATTTTTTATTACTATTTAAACAATGAAATGGACTTTAATTAAATTACACAAAAAAAACGTAACAAAAAATATTACTTCAAATGTTGCGGATTTTTACTTCTTTATTAATTGCACAATTATGGCGATGGTAATAAAAATTAACTCAAGCACAAACACGCGATTTGTATTGTATTATTTTTTGTATTTTTTTTCAATTTCGAAAATATGCAACAACGAAGGAAACAATGAGTAACCACTCAAATCGGTGCTGTGCAGCCAAAATGCAACAAAAGAAACCAAAAACCTAAAACGCAATAAAGTTCTAATTCTAAGTTATTATGAAATATTGATTGATTTAGAAGCTATAAATACTAAATAATAAATCGAATTCATTATCAGTTCGATTCTAAGTTCTTTAACTACACTGTTCTTCTTCGAAAGGTTTAGTTCGCAATCGGAATTGTCGGAATTTTCTTCCTTTCAAGCCTTTATTCTAAATTCGTGTGAAACAAAATGCATTGCTTTAGTGTGATCCTGGTCGCATCGGCCTTCGTTGGCTTAACTATGGCAGGATATTCGCATGGTGGTGGTGGTTCCAGTTATAGTACCGTCGTCAAACACGATATACCCATTTATTATCCACATGGAGATATTAAATACAGTTCAGGAGGACACTATGATTTGGGCTACAATGGCGGCTATGGCGGTTATTTAGATAAAGGTTATGGTTATGCTGGCCATCTGGGAAAATTGGATTACTACAAATATCCCAAATATCAATTTGATTACGGAGTTAAGGATCTAAAGACTGGTGACATTAAAAATCAATGGGAACATCGTGATGGTGGTTTAGTGAAAGGTAAGCCTCTATATCAATTAAAAAATAATAATAATAAACATGTATAAATTTTTGATTACAGGTGGCTATTCTTTGAAGGAATCTGATGGTACCACCCGCGTTGTAGAATATCATGCCGATGACCATAATGGTTTCAATGCTGTTGTCAAGAAAATCGGTCACGCCGTTCATCCTGAAATTTATGGCAAGGGTCTTCAATATGGTGCCGGTTATGGTTATGCTGGTAATTCTCTGAATCAAGGATATTATCATGGTGGTTACGGTTATGGTTTGGGTCATGGCCATGGACATGCAAGCAGTTATGTGAATGTGAAACAATTGTAAATACAATACTACGATACTGATGATGACTCCTACGGACCTGACTGTGAATATTAATTATAAATATAAACCATCCATATCCACCATAACCTCGACCAAGTTCCACAACCCCCAAAAAATAGACAACCAAAAAAATATATAAACATGCAACTCATAATGTGTAAATCTAGTTTGTTAAAATAGTTAAAGTTTTTTAAATGCTAAAAAATACCAAAAAAATAAATAATCCGTATATGGATATTAATGCAGAACAAAGATTGATTTTTTAACTTTGGTCATAATATTCTTCTTGATAATACGATCTGAAAAAAGTATTCAATTTGCGAATTTTTTTAAATTCGAAATTTGAAATTTGCGTGAAATCATTTTCTTTTAATATTACCTTTATTGTTGAAAATACTTTAAATTGATTGAAATACATTATTGAAAGAAATTATTTATTGGGTAAAATTGTTCCTTCCTTAATATAATATGAGTAGGTGACTAAATTATAAAACAATCTTTTATTTTAATATGGATAATTTGTACACATGTTAAATTCGTATTTGTTTATTAATATAAAATAAGTATCAAGTGCCCGCAACTTCGTTTGAGCTTTTTAAAAGAGCGGTGTCCTCTATTCCTACAAATATTACTATTTTTTTATAAAAACAACAAATTGGGATTCAGCCTGACTATTTTGTGTGACATTTCTTCAAAAATGGTCCGAATTTTTCTGCTTTCTGTTCCAATCTTAAAATAGTATAAACTTTGACTCGAATACCAAATATCAATATTCTACTATGGCCAAATATTTTATATTAATTAGTACTTTTCAAATTTATAGTACGAATTTCAAAACCCATAATTTAATATCTTAAATTTGGTCTTCGGACTTTGAAATTATTGTGAATAAGTAAATAATGTACACACATTTTCAAAACCACAATATTGAAAGATTCCACAAAATTTCATAGTATTTTCGCATCGATTGAAAGCAGTGTTTTGGAGAAGGTAGCAGACACCATCGTCAATCCTCCTGCGGAAAACATGTACTACACGCTTATGGGAAAACTTATTAGCAGTATCTCGGATTCAAAGGAGAAACGTATGAAGAAGGTCAACGATGACCGACAACATTGAGGATAGCAGTGAAGCAGATGTGTGCAGCTTTTCTTCATCGAGCAATCGTTTAGAGGAAAATGAGAAGAAATTGCAAACGATAGATTCCTTCAGGAAGTCAAAAAGCCGTAGCAAGACATCGTCATCAATGAATAGACAGTCAAAATCCGGAAGTAAATCAAAACCTTAGTGATGGTATCATTCGTGAGAAAGCCAGAAAATATGTTGCTCCACGCAATTATAAGCCTCATTCATTCCAACGCCCAACACATTTTATGTGTTCTTATTTCAGTACAATGAATTTCCTTTAACTACTATCTCAGACCTACGATCCTCATACCATATTTCAATATTAAAGCGCAATTCTTGCTCCAAATTTCAAATTGTACTAAATTTATACACATATATCAAACATTTTTGGAATTTATAGCACACCAACCAAAATAAACACCTTATCCCAACCATATACAATAAAAACTATTCACGTATCAAAGTTCATGATTGAAGCGTCATTCTTTCCCTAACTACTAAATATACTTAATTTCAAAATGGTATATCTAGGCATCTACACAACAATTAGTTTCTAATCACAACGTTTTTCTATCACGTTGGCTCCATTACCATTGGCTGCCAAATCGCACTATCAAAAAATATCATTATTGATCTCCGTTTTATCACACCCCCATCGGTAGCTTCACTATTAGATATTTTGAGAATTTCAATTAAAATATCCATATATAGCCGTATTCCACCATAGTAGGGATCCCCCTGCTACTGTAGGGATTTTAAGACGATTTAGTCGATTTAGCCACTTGTTGAAATCATTCTACCTTCGGAAGATATGGAGATTTAAAAAAAGCTAGATGGATTTTGGTCCACTCCTTCTGGTACCTCTCCCACAAAATGGTCAAAATTGTACAAAAAATTAATTTTATAATAACATGCAAACGGACTATACAATTTTAACGAAACTTAGTACAACCTATTATTTTCACTAAACCTAGATAATGTAGGAAGATGGGACCCATAGGCCCACAAATTCTGGTCCCACACAAATGATCAACATTTTCAATATTTATGAATCCAATATATTTATGAATCCAAACTTTGCACGACCTATTACCTTACCAAGCCTAAATTTAGTACCACTTAGTACCTAAAACCCTTTGGTCCTTCTTTCTAACTCTCTGTCACTGACATTCCAAATTGTAGATTTCGAACTCTCTCTCTGTTACCCAAATCCAAATTGTTCCAAATTTAGTGAATTTTGTATTTACTATTCGTACACATAAACCACCAAAATCCAAATTGTATCAAATTTAGTTCTTTTGGTACTCGTAAGTACAAATTGCCAAATGTAAATCAATTCTGCTTTTAAATTGTAATCGTAATTGTAAATTTAAGAATTTCAGTTTTGTCTGTTCATTAAAGACCAAATTATACCATATTAGATACCATTCTCCACTTTTGGTACCCATATTCCAAACCTATCTCAATATTTCAAAACTGCTTTCAAATAGTATTCGTAAGTCCAATTTTAAGAATTTCAGCTCTATATGTTCACTAAATTGTATTAGATTTGGTACCATTCTATACTTTTCCTACACTCCCACAGTAACCTAAGTTTCAACTTTCGGGATTCGAATTCTACCCATTCACCAAAGTCCAAATTGTACAAAATTTTCAGCTTTACGTACCCATAAGTACGAATTTCCAAAACTACCTCAGTCATGCACTCCAATAATATCCATAAGACTACATTTAAAGATTCCAGCTGTATCTATCTACCAAAATCCAAGTTGTACCAAATTTAGTACCATTTATTATTACTTTTCGTAGACGTAAGTACGAGTTTCTAAAACTGCCTCAATTCCACACTGCAACAGTAATTTTAATCATAATTTCTAGGATACCAGCCCTACCCGTTCACATAGATCTCAATTTTACCAAATTTTCCAAACCACTGACTTATCTCAATCCTGCACTCTAACTGTAATACTAATTAAAAATTTCAGAATCTCAGCCCTACCCGTTCACGTAAAAACAAATTTGCAAACTATTTGGTACCATTTAGTACTTTTTGTTTCCATAATTAACACTTTTCTAAACTACCTCAATCCTACACTCAACAGTAATTTTAATTCCAAAATTCTGTCCGTTCTCGAATAATCAAGTTGTACCAAATATAGTACCATTTAGTACACATAAGTACTATGCTTCCATATCTCAATTCTATATTCCAACAGCAACCATTATTCCAAATTTTAGGTTTCCAGCTCTCTGCGTTCACCCAAATCCTAATTGTACCAAATCTAGTGCCGTTTAGTACTTTTCGTACACATAAATTTGCAAAGATGTCTCTATAGCTCAATCTTCAACAGTAATCTTAATTTCAAATTTCAGGATTTCAGCTCTATCATTTCAAACAAAATCCAAATTGTACTAAATTTGGTACCATATAGTACTTTTCGCACCAATAAGTAACTACCTCAATCCTACATTCAACAGTCATTTATTTTCACAATTTGAAGACTCCAGCTCTATCTGTTCACCTAAATCCAACTTACACCAAATTTAGTACTTTTCGTACACATAAGTACGATTTTTGTTTGGATTGTCCCCATATAGCCGTATTTGTCAATTTATGACCTAAAAAAAATGTGGATGTAAGACGATTTAGCCATATTGTAGTCATACTACCATAGGAGAGTGTGGAGATATAAAACTAAAACGTCAGGTTCGAAAATGTGATATATCGCCCACACTTAGCCTCCCGACTTTCGGCATTTTCTACTAGAGGTAACCAAAAAACCCCCCTTAAGGTACATCTTCATATAACGATGCCCTATAAATTGCTATATCTCAGGATTATATACACATATTTCACACTACGCTATCAATACATTTGGGGATCGAATCACATCGTCGGACTTTTGCGCATCCTTTAGTATAACATAAAATTAACTCCATAAATACGTTTACAATTTAACTAAACATTTTATGTTTTAGTTGCATGTGAAAGCTCTATTGACATCGTCGGGGTCAATAAACACCCAAATGTTTTAGTTATAAAAAAGATCAAGTTTTTTTCTTGAGTTCATATATCTTTTTTTTTTTTTTTTTTTTGTTATTATAATTTCATTTCGTTTTTATTTGCATGTATATATATTGCGATTTCCTTTTTTCTTTTAATGATTTGCGGTGCATTACAACCATAGTGTGTTTCAATTTTTTTCGCTGGCTATTTTACTTATTTGGGATCAGGTTACCTCTTGAGTGTGTTTCATCTTGCCACCTACCCATTGCTCTGAGCGTTTGTCAGTGTGTTATGGGTATTGCGAAAAGTAAAAGTTGTTATGGCATTTTATTTATTTTTGTTTTTCTTTTTTTTAATAAAAATTTGCTTGATCCGCAGCATTTATTCACCTTAATGAGAAAATAGTTTATTTGTTCGAATGTCAGGAGATGAAATTGATTCCGATACGTTTTGGAATGTATATTAAATACAACATAAATCATGAATGTAATTATTACGGAACACTAACTACATTAATCCCCTTCTCTATGTAAAAGTTCGCGATGTTCGGGACATAATTGTGACCTCTGGAGCGACCAGAAAAACCGACAAAAATTAACCGATCTTTACCAAAAACAATAGAGGTCTTCATTGGGCAGAACCCATCCTACATGCAAAATTTCGTGAAGATTGGTCCATAACTGTGGCAAATGTTTACAAATTATAATGAACAGACGGACGGGAGGACACACATGTCTAGATCGACTCAGCTAGTCGAGATATGACGATCAGTATACTTAAAGGTGGGCCTAGGACCAATATTTCGCGGCGTTACAAACTCTTGGGGCTCCACAAAGCTATAATACCCTAACAACATAGTTGTGTAGGTA